TACTGTTCTATGATTTTGTCCAGAACAGTTAAGTTATTAGTTGGTGATAAGACGGAATTCCTTTTTTTTCCTGTGGAGCAAAGTTAAACAGACCAAACTTTGGTTGTTAGATAAAGCTAGGTATTACACTTCTGAACGGGCTCACCACTGTGGCAGCCATGAAGAATTCTCGATGCTATCTGTGAGCAGGTTCATAACCTCTGCGTTTGTCTAGGCAGACGTCAGGGCTCTCAGGGAGGGAGTGACATTAAACAGCCTGCCTCCTGCCAGACTAAGAGGGTGAAGGAAGAGAGGGCATAGTATTTACGACTCTAGGAACTGTAAGTTGTAATTTAATGAGATCAAAGCATGTGCTGTTTATGTGCTACACTAACAACATTGAATGAAATGCTTAGAAAAAGACAGTGTACTAGAAGTTCAGGATATTTAAAAGCTTATAAAATCAAAAGCATATTTTTCAGTGGGAAATCTTATAATGGTAGTCTCTGATTTTAATTTACTATGCTCATAAGATTAAATAATTACTGTGTGAGAGACGGGATGTAAGAAATGGTTAGTTTTTAGTTTTGTCAGCTTTATACTGGTTTTCCATCCCTGTCCTTCCCCTCCTGTCTCCCTGCTGTTTCATGACAATAATTGTGATAGGAGTTGGTGCATTTTAGGGCAGTGCCTATAAAACAGCAGTTACAACAGCTTCATGTTTTCAGTTGTTGAAAGATACAGAAGTTTGCTGCATTTGTAACCTTGAAGAAGAAAAAAGCTTTTAGAAAACAAGTCTTCCTTGGAGCCAGCAGGTGGAGTAGTAGTTAGGGTGCTAGACCTGGCGGCTTGAAACTCAAGCCAGGCATGTGTGCGTGCATTCCCAAAATCCTGAGAGGAGAATGGACTGTGGCGTGCTCATCCCCCTGGGGGGTGATTTCTCACCATCTGCCAGTATAAGGCCTATAACAAACTTCAAAAAAAAAAAAATTGAAAGCTGCATGAGAGGCACAGTCTCAGTTCCCTGGCCAACCTGACATGCACAGTGAGGTTGCATGTACTTGTAATCCTAGCTGGCCGGGAGACTGGGATAGGCAGATGGCAATGCAGCAAGGCCTTGTCACAAATGCCTGTCTCTGTTTCTCTGTCTGCCTCTGTCTCTCTCTTCACCTTCTGTCCATATCATAAAGGAAAAAAATGCCGATATGTCTGCATACAACCTGTGCACATCCTCCTATGTATTTGGAATCATCTCTCTAAGATTACTTATAAGGCTTACTCAGTGTAAATGCTATTGTAAGTAGTTGTTACACCACATTTTGAAGTTTTTTACTATTTTTTTAATTTTAAGTTTTAAAAAATGTCTTTGACCTGTGGTTATTTGCATCTGTGGCTGTGGAACCTGCAGATATGAAGGGCTGGCTGTCCTTAGGCCTACCACTCTTTGAGCAGCTTTGCAGTTGCCTGTGAACTGCTATGTCACCCACCAAACTGGCTGACATTTTATGGCTCTCACCAAGTATTTTTGTTGCCATTTATTTTTATCCTGAATAATGAAATATTTGATTATATCAAATTTTGCTTTATTTTTTATTTTATTTTTTAGAGAGTTTTGCTATAGGACATATGCAATCATTGGGGAGACAGACAGAGAGAGAGAGAGAGGGAGAGATATCACCCCCACAGGGACATGGTCATGCGCAATCCCTTCTCCAGTCTTCTCTTGGGACTTTGGACATGCATGCACACGTGCCGGGAGAGTTTTAAGCCACTGGGTCCAGGACTCGAACAGCAGTCAACTACGTGGGAGTCCAGCAACGTAATCATTAGGCCATATGCTGTTCCCTTAAATTCTATTTTATACAGTTCATTCAAATCTTTCTTCATATCATGTTCATTACTATTTTCTTATCATATTCATTACAAGTTTTAATTTCTCTTAGATATCTGAATTTATTGGGATGTTGGAAAAGTCTTGATGTATTTTTTCTATGCAAAAAACGTATCATGGTGTAGCTGGCAGGTGGTGTGGTGGATGAGGGTGCTGGATTCCCATATGGCCGACCGTGGTTTGAGTCTCAGACCTGGCAGCTTGCCTTCTTGCTTTCCTTTTCTCTCTCTGACTGGTCAAATTAAAAAATAATAACAACAAATGGAATTAATTAAATAAATAATTCTTTAAAGAAGAAAATAAAAATAAAAGTATCATGGCTTTTCTGACAACCCAATACTGAGGCGATGTGGGCTATTAAACTGAGAATGAATCGTGGTATCTTTTCTTGAGGAGCTGATAGTTTACAGAAAAGCTTGCTACTAGCTATGAGAGAATGAGTCTTAATCTTTAAATAAATTTTTAAAAGTTAGTTATGAATGTTGCTTATTACGACTCAGCATGCCTTATTTCCATGTAGGCGAAGTCTTCCGTGCTGCAGCCATAGAGGCCAGAATCCACTGCAGTCAGCTTAGCACTAGTGGTGGTAACAGGGCCTAGCACAGGGATGCTCAAAGGACACTTGTCACAGGGATTATCACTACACGCCACAGACTTAAGTTTATTATCTTCGTTTCAAAGATGAGGACCTTGAGGCAGAATTATGCTTGAAGTTGTACACCAAGGGAAACAGGGCAAAGATTGGAACCAGGCGAATTGGGCTCCAGAACCTTAAGCACTCCACTAACAGCAGCAGCAGAAGCAACTCATCGATGTCGCATCTTGGCACCTGCATTCGCCATTAGAAACTATGCATTTGTTCAGCAAGGCCGTGGTCGACTGCTCGTGCTCCTGAGCTCATGGCCGCTCCTGTGCCTCAAGTGCAAAGCTATGGACTAGCGTATTTTCTCCCAGAACTCACTGTTACACGTGATTTCTTTTGGTCTCCTTCATTCAGCCCTCCACTTTCTCCAACCAGAAGACCCTTTTCTCTCGGCTGTGCCATCACATGGCAAGATCTCCTACCTCTGGTCCTTCAGTAGGACTCATTTGCCTAGTGCATCAGTCTGTCCCTGCCTGCACAGGGTCTTCTGAATTACTCTGTTTATAGAAATGCATCGCTTTGCCTTTTCTTTAAAACTAAATCTTTGGGACTAGCAGCTGGCATAATGGTTACATTGCTGGACTCCCACGTGGTTGACAGCAGTCCAAGTCCTGGAACTGGCAGCTTTAACTAGTGCTGGGCGCGTGCATGCCCACAATCCCAAGAGGAGAATGAGGAAGGGTTTGTGGTGTGGCCATCCTCCCTTTGGGGAGGTGATTTCTTGCTTTCTGTCTCTCCATCTCTGGCGAGTGCATGCAAAAATCTCTAAGAAAAAAACCCAAAACCTGAACCTTCAGTTGTGGTCATCTCAAGGAGGTTCATGACATAAGAACTTGCCTAACTCTGTGCTCCCTGTTACATTAGAGTACACTGTGCCTGTGTGATTTGGCCATGTGGGATCCAACACTTGAACCATCTGCCTCCAGCTGGTCCTAGTCAGGATTCTTTTTTTTTTTTTAAAGGTTTTTGTCAGGGCAAATGTGCTCACTGGAGAGAGACAGAGAGACAGTGAGAGGGAAATTGAGAAATCACCCCCTAGGGAGAATAGCCACACCACAGTCCCATCCCTTCCATGACCCTCCTGGGACTTGGGGCATGCACACACACATACCTGCCATGATTTTCAAGCCACCAGGTCTAGGACTTGAACTGTGATCAGCCATGTGAGAGTCCAGTGCCTTAATTACTACACCACCTGCTGGCCTCCCTAGTCTGGATTCTTAATTGCAAAGCCGATTTAATTCAACAAAGGAACATATGGAATGAATGTTGGTTCACCTCAGATGTGAAAAATGGTTGGAAACAGTGAGGCTATTCAGTGTCCCAGGTCGCAGCAGAGTCAGCTTCCAGTGCCAAGCACTCACTGCCTGTGACTGTGGCGAAAGCTGCTGCTCTTACAGTGGAATCTCCTGTCCATGGTTGCTGCAGGTCACCAGCACTTCTCTGCTGTCTGCCTCAGCTGGGGCTACAGTAGTCTTTGTTGTTCGTGGCACCATGCAGTATCCAAGGCAGCTGCAGCTGAGGAGCCAGTCCTGGCCTCGCACTCAGGAATGGCTATGTCACGTTTCAGTTTCTCTGGTGGCCAGTGGGCTCTGATACTCTAGAGTTCTTCTAGAATGCAGGATTCAGATGCTCTGTAGTCAGGACTGTGAAATCAGATCCTTGCGCATTTAATGCGGTCAGCGTACACAGAACAGCAGCGGTCAAGACAGCAGTTTGGTGGACAGCTCAGGATTTTAATGTATTTGGTTGTATCTGCTGAACTCTAAGGACGTGCGACTTCATACATGAAGATTGCTTCTACTCCTTTAATCCCACCTTCCACAACATGGCTAGAGTATTTTTTCTACATTATATTACTTATTTTTCCCTGAAAAATGCTTCACTCTTTCTCGTTCCTGTGTCTGAGCATGTGGAACCGTAAATTTCCTGTGGTGCTCACCCTGCTCTGTCCTTTTTGCAAGTTTACCTCTGAGGACTCATTTCAGGTGTCACCTTCCACGTGGCACTTTCTGGAAGCTTTTACCAGATTTCTTTAGATTTCTTATATGTTAATATAGCACTTACCACATTTTATTGTAATTATTACATAAATTTTTCTGACTAGATCTAATGAACTTAGGAATCAAGAATTTTTTATTATCTTTTTTTTATCTCACAAGATGGTTTGTTGATTAGATAACGGAAAATACCATACTTCCGATTGGTTAGTTAATTTAATTTATATACTGTGTTTAAGCTCCAAGGTCATCTATTCTATCCCTGTGCTAGGCTCTGCCTAGCCTGTAGTCACAGACTTCATTCCCACTCTGGCTAATTTTGTGAGGGAACTAGGGAAAACAGACCTTGATGGACCATGTTTGATATATGAACTACAGCAAATGATAGTGAAAGGTTTAAAGGTGGACTTTGCCACTGTCAGAAAAATACCTGCTTTGATGAAATATTTATACTAAATTTTCTGCTTTATGTATTTCTTATGTTAAGGAACTAAAAAGGGTAGCCTCAGACTTGATGAAGTCCAAGGTCACATGTCAATACATGATGGGAGAAGAAAGCATCAGTCTAACAATTAAGGAACAAAAATTTCAAGAACTTCAAGAAAGACTCAATATGGTATTTGATTAAATCTACTTTTAAAGACTTTAGGGTGATAAAATTTGGCTATACCCACCTTCCTTTTTTTAATAATTATTTTTTAATTTATTTAATTAATCTATTATTCTTCAATTTGACCAGAGAGAGACACACAGAGAGAAAGAGACAGGCAGAGAGAGGGAGAATGAGAAAGCAAGCCTCCAGGTCCAGGACTCGAACTATAGTCAGCCATTTAGAAATCTAGCACCTTAACCACCATGCCATTTGCTGGCCTTCCTGCTCCCCCTTTTTAAAAAATTGCCAGAGGATGTGTGCCCTGGCCAAAACCAGACATAAAAACAGAGGAAAAAGAGGGGGAGGCAGAGGGGGAGATAAAGTGAGGGAGAAAGGAAGAAAAGGAGAAAGAAAACACCCCCCAGTGGGTCATGGTCACACAACAACCTTTCTCCGTCACCTCTCAAACCTGTCAGGGTTTTGGGCAGGCACACACACACACATCTGGCATGTCATTTAAGCTACTGGGACCAGGACTTGAACTGTGTTCAGCCTCATGGGATCTGGCTTCATATGTACTGTGTGTGACTGCTACGCTACAGGACTGGCCCAGTTTCGTAGTTTTTTTTTCACACTTGAAAGTTTGCATCGGCCTGTGTTGGGTATCTATTGAGTAATACTTTCTTCAGTTCCCTGGAGTCACCATTTCAACCACAAACAAGTTGGGTACTCTGGAGTAGTTGTTGGGCATGATGTCCCCAGATTTCTTGAGCATTGAATTGAATGTACAGTTTGCTGCACCCCATAACTTTAAATTTATTCAAATTTTTAAAGGAATTGAAATTAAATAAGAAGATAAATGAAGAGATTACCCATATTCAAGAAGAGAAGCAGGTAATCATAAGATATTTAGGAAGTTGGTAATTTTTTTAAAAATCAGATACAGTGCTGGAAATGAGTTAAGAGACGGAACTGTGCCGAGGTCAGTGTGTAACACAGGGGAAGCCCTCAGCTAATGTGCACTGAGGGACACACGGTGCCTTTCTAGTCAGTCTCTTATAGTCATGTTAGAAATAAACCAGGTTTGGGACCAGCAGTTGGCGTAATGGCTATGTCACTGAACTCCCATGTAGTCAACCGCGGTTCGAATCCCAGACCCAGTGGCTTAAACTCATGCTGGGTGCGTGTCCGTGCATGCCCAAGATACTGAGAGGAGAATGGAGGAGACGGGATTGTGGCGTGGCCATCCTCCCGGGGGAGGGCGACTTGTTGCTTTCTGTCTCTCTCTCTGTCTTTCTGATGAGCGCACGTGCCCTAAAGCAAAAACCTCTCAAAAAAAAAAAAAAAAAAAAAAAAAAAACCCGG